AAGAAGAAGAAGAAGAAAAAGAAGAAGAAGAAGAAGAAGAAGAAGAAGAACAACAACAACAACAACAACAAGGGAGGCGGTGGCCCTGGCGAAGAGCACACTCTTCGGGGCTCCGAACATTTCGAACGGATAGGCTACCACACACACACACACACAACAACAACAAGGTTTCTGAAACAATGAAATAATCAACCATTCTTTATCTATCTCTATGTTCACAGGTGGGTGCCTCCCTGTTTGCCAGTAATATCGGATCTGGCCACTTCGTGGGTCTGGCTGGGTCAGGAGCCGCCACTGGTATCGGCATTGCCGTGTTTGAGTTGAACGTGAGCAAAAACTGTGTTCGTGTTGTGTGTGACGTCATTTATTGTTGTGAGGAAACATAATATTTGGTTGAGTTGTGATGGTATAGGTTTATGTGCACGTGGTTTTGTATAATTTGTCATAACTGCAATATTTGATTATTGTGTGGTGTCATAGGGCTCTGTGCACGTCGGTATGCTTTTTTTTTTCTTTCTTGAGAATATTTAATTTGGAGTTGTAAAGTGTTATTTTGGAGGGGGGGGGGCTGTAAGGAAGAAAATTTGTTGTTAAAAATAAAAGAGAGAGAGAGAGAGAGAGAGAGAGAGAGAGAGAGAGACAGACAGAGAGAGACAGAGAGAGACAGAGAGAGACAGAGAGACAGAGACAGAGACAGAGAGACAGACAAACAGACAGACAGACAGACCGACAGACAGAGACAGAGACAGAGAGACAGAAAGATAGACGGGGAAGGAGGGCGGGAGAGTTTACTTTAGTTTTAGTAAAAGTTTTACTGCACTTGCAACACAATAAAGTCACATAAGTGCCAAAGATTAAGAACGTTAGAGTAACAAACGCAAAGTATATAGGAGGGGAGATATGGACGATACAGGTTTAATAGGAAAGAAGGAGCTAACCACACCAAAGCACCTGCCAACCGCCCACGGATTAGTGGGGTCAATGGTGGATGGTGAATAGAAGGTGGGTTTGTGAATGGACTTCATGGAGAGAAAAAAATTATGGATAAAGCAGGGAGGATGATGCAGTAGAGAAAGTGATAAATTATTATAAACGTTTCACTTCTCTGAAAAGAAGAATACAATGCATCAGCAGTCTGTCTAACAGTTGTTTCACTGTCTCTCACCCCCC